TAGATATCTATTGTCTTTTGTGTTAATTATGTATCAAAATAGTTATTGAAAATGAAAACCTGTTATATAAATAAACTTTGATACAGATAAAAATGAATTAGAACAGTTTTGGGAACGTCATTTTTTTCAATCGTTCCCGTGTTCCCGTTCCCGAAAAAATATTTTTGTTCCCGTTCCCGAAGTCTCAACGGGAATTCCCGTTCCCGATTCCCGCGGGAAACGGGACGGGACAATACGGGAAAAAGTCATTCCCGCAGGACTCGAGCAATTGGTATTTACGGCTAACAGTAGTTTACCCTATGTTTTTTACTATATATGCTCACTTTCCAACAGTTCATTTTATTCAAAAATAGATTTCAGCACATTATTTCTTGTGCCCAGGGTACAACCTCAATATCATCAACTACTAGACATATATTTTGAGGTGGTTCTGGAGTCTCACAATCATGTTTTTTTAAATAAATTTTCGGACAAAATGAGAAATGATCACAGAAATAACACGCTTTTGATCCTGGTTGACAAAATTTCGACAAAAAAACATGCATAAGATCTTGGTTACGAAAACTAAATCTTTTTATGCCAAAAGCAAGTAAAAGATCATGGGAAAAAGCATGTAATATATATTGATTCATCCGTATGACCAGAAAATATGGTTTAGTTCTCGAAAATTGTACATATCGTAGAAAGATGTAGAGATCTGGTTGGTCGAAGTGTATTTAGAGTTTAAAAAGAATATCAACACATTCACTACCTAGAAATATACGTGTTATATAATACCGTCATCAAGGAAGTATATCACCTCATTTGACAATCTATATTCTTCTTTATATTAGCATACACATTTCTCCAATTGGTACTAATGATACTATCTCATCACACAAGTTCGAGTGTTTCTCTGTCTATTTTCATTTTTTTTGTTAAATACATGAATCTGGATATTTACTAGAAAACTAGTATAAATTAGATGGAGAATAAAAACAGTTTATGCACCCATATATTGCGAGATCTAAAACATGTTTATCTTAGCATAAGCTTAATTAGATTTTTTCTCGTGATCTAATCAATGATTTTGCCATAAAAAAACTTAGTTTTAGTAACCGAGATCTTTTACCTGATTTTTCTTAATAATTTGTCAACCGGGATCGAAAGAATGATATTTCTGTTATCTTTTAAACTCACGTCTTAAATTTTCTTAGGCCGAAATCATGGAAAAGGTCATGAAAAAATTTAATTGACCTTAGTTTAGAACAACTGCGCCTTAGATCTCGGAATGTTTTTGAGTGCACTGTTCTCTTTCTTTATCCAGTTTACATCAGTTTCTCAAGGAATGTTTGGCTTCCTGTTTTTTAATTAGAAAAATTAACATAGAAAGATCTAAACACAACGTAATGAATTGAAGATTAAGTCTTTAGTAAATATTGTAGAGATTACGAACGGATTTCAGTGGCACGTTCAACAAAAATATGTGTGGTAATATAAAAAAGTTTATAGACTGTCAAATGATACGCTTAGACTTTTTTGGGTGCGCTCCGCTGCAGCCAGTACTAAAAGTATAAACTGGTGTATCCTTCACCGATAGAAAAGGTTTAATAAAAAATTGGAATAAAAAAGTTATGAGAAATTGGAAAAACAGCAAATTATATTGTAATTAGCCGCGCCGCTGACGATGGAAAAATTTTAAAAAAATCTTTAGCCACCGATCGAACAACCTTTTTTAGACGTTGCCGCAGAAGGCGGAAAATCTTTTAAGGGGCCACGCCGCCACCATCAATCGGAAAACTTTTGTTTCGCGCCGCAGTCGATTTTCCGACCGGCGCACAGATCTAGATGTACTATATTTATTTGATAACTGCATTACACAACGCTTACAACAGTAGTTAGTAAATACAATGGTATTCTACTAAAGTTTTACCTACCCTTCAAGCAACTAGATTAGCACGTCTTCGTCGGATTCTCGAAATCTAACTGATTTTTGATCATATAAACGAACCCGATCTGATATATGCTTCTGGTATAGAAGAAAACAATTTTTTATAACTGAGATCTTTTGAATGTTTTTTTTCTCATCGTTTTGTCAACCAGGCTGAAAAGCATGTTATTTCGTGATCATTTCTCATTTTGTCCATTTTATTGTACAAATGAATTATAACAAGTAGTCAGAAGAATTCTGATTATCTATTATATCATACTCATTCAAACAGTGTTGTTTGATCATCAATATCATTTTGTTCATGTTGTTGCTTTTCGATGTCATTAAATGTTGATGTTGCTATTGGATATCGGAATATAGAAGCAATACCATCAAAAGCAATTTTAAATTGTTGTCCTTCTTGTGTATAATCATTGACAAGTATTAATTTAATATTAAGTTCTGTATAATTGTCTGCAAACCATTCAACTAAACTCATTTCATCTAAACATTCAATATCCTTATTGTTATTACTAATGCTACCATTACTCTTTAATTTTTCAAACGCTTTTTGTTCGGTATCAGCCCAGATAATAATTTCTTTTTCGGCTTGTTTCAGTTTATATACAAACCGTTTTATTATTAAATTTTCCCACAAAATAATTTTATCAACAAGATCAGCCCCTAAATTCAAGGATAACATTGTTTCATCAACACCAATTGCATACATTTGCATCGCTGAGCCACTATCACTACCTAATTTAATTAAATCGAAAAACTTATCCAATTGTTTGGTTTCATTAATCAGTTTTAAATTTGTAAATAAATCCGAACATAATTTTATTGTTTCATGTAGACCAGCTTTACCACCATATTGAATATCGACAATACGTTTTATTTTTGATTTGATTTTGATATCTAATAAATCACTGTTAACAAATTCAGCTGTTAGATGCACTTTACCACCAACAATAACTCCATCAACATTCGATAATGATGTTTCACATATTTCTGCTATTTTTTTAAAATAATTATGAAATTTTTCTCTTCTTATACGGTGAAAACGTATTGTAGATGCACCACCGCGACGAGGCTTTTTCCGTATATCTACACTGAATTGTTGAACAATGTCAGCACGTGTATTTCCTAATTTTGCAAGTAGTGCTCCTTCGTCACTGATGACAACTATACCATAAATGTTTAACGGTAATTCATTTAACATTTCTTCTAAAAAATCTGTTATGAAGTGTATATTGCGTTGATAACGGGAATTTGTAATTGATCGGATTGGTTCAAAACAAATTGATATGTTGTTTTCTTTAGAATCATTACTATTCTTGTGATTATGGGCCAGACCACAATATAATACAAGACCATTTGGAGGTAACTTACGCTGTGAATATAAACTTAAAAGGGACTGAGCAGTGACCAGTGCTTGTTGAACCGAATTTTGCGTTTGAGAAGAATTTGTTACTGATGCTGTTTCCATTTCTTCGGTCAACAATTTAGCTGTCTGATCTAATTGATCATTTGATGGTATTGCTATGGTTATTAATGATGCGTCACAGGCTTTTAATTCTGATAACTGTTGAATAATACGACGAATTCTCCATCGTCTAATTGATTGAGCTTCAACATCCAAGGGTAATGTTTGTGATGCCATTGCTTTTTCTTATTCACTGTTAAAGTACATTATGCATTTATATACGGTTTGTTTGGCTGTAAGAGTAATTTCGAAAAATTACGATAATATTTCTATTAGAAGGAAATTCTTGTATGTTCCTGTAATTACGAAATATCCATGCGACTGTATGGTGTACTATTTTTTTGCAAGAAAAGAACGAACAAAAAAAGATATATTGGTAGATGATTTTATTTCTTTCTTAAAAAAGGCATGCTTATAAGAATAACCATAGCAAATCAGGCAAATTATTTTTCGTCCGGTTTCGAAGGAAACAGTATACGTATTCTGGTCGGTTTTTGCACGTAGATTCCGAATCTGGCGTCTGTTTTTTGGTGTCTAGTCTAGTTTTCGAAAAATAGACGAAAAACTGGTTTTACGTGAAAACTAACGCCTTTTATTACTTTCTCTCTTTTTTTTTCGTTCTGAATATATATGTTTTTCTTTCCATTTTCTCTTTTTCTATTTTATTGTGTGAACGAACAGAAAGAGAAAAAGAATATCCATCTAAGCTTGTATCAAGCACTGCTGTTACTTCAGTTCAGTATACCTGTTCAAAATAGAGCAGATATAAAATATCAATTTTATTCCGACAGGAAAAAGGAAGACTGATACTAAGAAACGCTACAATTACTTGTATAGAAATCATTTGTATGCTCTCGCGGGGCACAAAAAGTAGATTGTTAACTCCTTTTCGTAGTAGGCAGCGTCGTTACATCAGCAGCTTAAACAGAAGGAAAAATCTGAACAGAATCGCCTGATTTTTAGATGTCAAGACGCTAGCCTGGTCCAATTTACACAAACGCGTTTTAAAAGTAACTGATTCTTAGTAAGAATCAGGCAAATCATTTTTTGTCCGGTTTAGAAGAAAACAGTATACATATTCTGGTCCATTTTCGCACGTAGATTCCAAATCTGCGGTCCGTTTTTTGGTGCAAAGTCTAGTTTTCGAGAAAGAAACGAAAAAGTAGTTTTACGTGGAAACTACTAGCTTTTTCCTTTCTATCGTTCTTTTTCTCAATGTCTCTCTCTTTCTCGCTCTCTTATTTCTCGTATTTTTGGTAGATAGGTATGATGAATGAAGAGAACGAGAAAGAGAATATCCAAGTATAGTTTGTACTGTATAATCAAGTTGTTGTACAGCTATTTGTTCTTGTTGAACATTGAGTAGATATGAAATCAACGTCAACGACTTTAGACAAAACGAAAACAACTGCAAATATGGAAAACAAAAAATAAAAAAATTGTCTACGATACAAATTTGCACACTTAATCTATACAACGATCTCTTTCTGCACGAAGTATTTTCATGTACAAAAAATAGTCTCCATCAATCTTTGATTTATCACCGTTTTCGGTCTCTACTGTAACAGAATTACTTTTACGAACTTTACAGTGAAAATCTGAAACATAGCATACTTTGTCTTTATATTCGCCATAAACTAAATTAACAATACAATTCAAACTGGCAAAAAATGATGTTTGTGGTGTAAATTGAGATTTAATACCAATATTTTTTAAATAATTGTATTCATTGAGTGTTAAATGAATACGATGGTTATGTTCTTTAGCTCGTCGACGTCCTGGTTTTAAACGTGTTGCTAGAAATTGCTGTAATGAACGACGTAAACGTATCCGTAGACGATCTTGCAATCGTGTACTTGATGTGGTGGTAAACGGATCTGATTGATTATTATCATTATGGCTTGATATTAGTTGACCATGACGAAGCTTCAAGAAATAACCGGGTGGCAATTTTCTTTCACGTAAACATCGCAAATCCTATAAGAAAATCAGAGACAATACAACATCTTATCCTTCGATGAACACAAAATGAGTTCTTTTGGGCGCTTCATGTTTCTACGACTGTTCGGCAAACATACGGCAAGCCTCCGTTGACATTAACACCGTAGACATCTCATTTTGTAGACAAATCCCATTGTGTTCACCGTTTACGAAATCGCTAACAAAATCAAATCGTAAGAAACGTCAGATTTTTATAGATGAATCATATCTGATAACTTACCATGGAATAGATATATCTGATCTCAATAACAGAAGAGTTTTTTAAACGACGTTGTCAGGAAGAGAATAACTGAATGATTTTTTTGTACAGTTTTCGTTATTATATGAGAATTTAAGGAAGTGATGTTCTATTAAATCGGAGTACTACGTGGGGTCAACAATCTTACTCCATCGGCAACACTGCTTTGAATGTCCATAGCCAGACGGAATTTTGGTGAAAGTCACTGGAACAGAGATACAAGCAAACTACGATCTGACTCTAGCGCATGTGTTATCAAGCGCTCATATCATCATGAATTGGAGGTTTCTGTGAGCCCAACAAAATATATGAATGAGGCTGCTTTCAGCACTTTCAACATCAATACTAATCATTGGGAAGCAGCAGAACAAGAACCTTTTAGAGATCCATGCCAGAATGGTTTAGTTGCAATTCTGGTGGTATTAATATTGTAATTCATTTTGCAGACAATTGATCGCTCTATAAACTGCGTTAAAACTGTTCTGCGTTAAACTGTTATAACAGAATTTGGCTGCTGGTAGCTGTTTTTACTGAAAAAAACCAAGTGCCTTAACCTAACAAATTTCAATAACTTATATTGAAGTTTTGTACATAGTATAAACCTGTTGAAAGCAGTGTGCTGTGAAATTAGCGAGACTTGTTCAGATTTGTCTGCTCGTTCGATGCATGTGAAACTCTGAAGCACTCTTTTTTTCAACAAGAAAAAAAGTCAGATATGATAAAAGTGTACTGTTTCGATTTTGTTTCTGGAGCTTTTTGTATAAAGTCGGTAACTCACTCATTGTAAGACTCTAAGGTTTAAAAACTGGGGTTTATGGGTAACTGTGAACGCTTTATCTAATGAGATCATAAAAAATCGTTTTAATTTTTGACTATGTTACGGATACTGCGTGATGCTTGGCGTCTCTTACAAATCCTCTCATAAGATATCCTTAAAGAACAAAAAAGTAGATTAGCATGAACATTGTTATAAAAGAATTGTTCAATGTGTCGAATGAAACTGTTTTCTGGGCTCCTGAAAAAGAAACCTGAGAAATGTTAGGCGCTCATCTGAAAAACCTGGCAGGTATTTTGATTTTTTTACTCTCACTCCTGTATATGTAGTTCTTATTTTCAGTTTTTCTCCTCGCCTTTTGCACACACGGAACTCATTTTTCTACCAAAAGATTTCCCATTCAAGATCTTTGGTGGACACACCATGAACTATGCTGAGAGATGGTCATTTGAACGGAGTAAGATTTATTTCCCGCTTGAACTGCCATTGTTTTGCGACAAAATTATTTAATATTTAGATATTCAAGAATAAGAACTCGCCTGCTATTATTTGCTTGATTTACATGGCTGATTGCATTTTACAATGAACTTGTTTATGCTTGTTCTTATGTTTTATCAAAACTTTTTGGAAAATACAACTCTTCTCACACAACCTTTGTCTTATCGACTTTGCTAAAGAGAGAGTACGCAAAGACTGTACGCCACTCCACTCAAACTACTGACGTCAGCTCGTGCTGATCGGATATCGGCTTTATAAAGCGCTCACCAAAAAACCTGCTACTATAGACAACATTTCATTACTTGAATAGAATGTACTTCGTCGTCAATTGATGATCAACTACTATAATATAAATATCTAATCGGAGTCGATGACTCCACACTGTTTGCGACTTATAGTCGCAGTTATCAATGGTGCACCTGTTCCGTCGATTACGCTGCATGAGAATTCATCATCGTCATTATTAAGATGAATTTTTGTTTGAGTAAATGGCGCCATTCTATAATCAATGCAATAAACAGTACAGTAGAAAATTGTATATGTTTTATATGTTTGATTTAGTATATGTTTTATATTCTGATCGTATTAAGTGGAAAATTTGCTGATTATCTCACATTATTTTCTCATCGTTATTAGTATTATTCATACTTCTTTATTATTCAATTCAACAATCTCAAATGCGTAATAAGTTAAAATCAAAATCATTTTCCTCTCTAATCCCAAAATCAGAATATCAATCATTAAATATTAAACAATACAAAATAAATAAATATTCAAAAGAAAATATTCATTTAGATTTGATCATATTTCAAACTCGATGAAGGATATAAATGAACAACAAATAAAGAATAACAATTTGAAACAACAGAAAATTTATTAGAAGAAAATGCAATTTCGAATAAAATTAGATTTAGAAGAATCAAAACTATTGTATTTAAAATATCAAATTGAAACATTATCAAATCGTATCAATTTTTTTGAAGATGAAATCGATACATACGAGCAAGAAACAAGCGATCTAAGACAAAAAATCAAATAATAATGACTAAATAGTCAAAATATAAATTGAATTCGTCTCATCTAATGAACACTTACTTATATATACATCAGTTTTTTTCAAGAAACCTATTTTTAATAAACATTAGGATAAAGATAATCTTTCATCATTTAAATAGGATTCTAGTGAATAGACATGAGATACGTTCGTCCTGAATCATTACTATATCAGAACAAGTTTTTACAGATTCTATAAACTATTGAACATGTCAATAGTTTACTCCTTCACCAAGCCGTCTCTGCCATTTCAAATACTAGAGAGCTCGAGTTGGTTTTAAAATGTAGCCCAGATCCGGGGCTACAACTTAACAGAGTCCGATATTTTTTGTGTTGCAGTATCGTTTTCTTTTTAGCTTACTTTATAAGATATGATAAGAAGGGTGTATATTGTAAAACAGTTGGACCTCATGAGATATTAAACGTAAAATCGAAAATTTCGGCTCTGTCAAATTGTAGCGCTGATCATTCTCTTCATTTTAGGTTCAACCTCAGCTTTCTAGCATTTAAAATGGTGGAGAAATTTGGGAACGGAGATGTGAAGACAAAAATCCGTATTATGAGAAAAACGCAAAAGAAGTTTTCCTAAAAAGCCGATTTTCGTCAAATTTTTCGATTTTTTGATTTATAGCGTGTCAGATAGAGCAAAGTGTGGGCTATCGAACGCACTATAGTTTATTCATTTTATGATGAGTTTTAAAGATGTTACATAATTTTTTCTGGAACCTCATATTCTAGAAAATAGCATTTTCTCGAAAAAATGTGAAGACAAAAAACCATATTATGAGAAAAACGCAAAAGAAGTTTTGGAAGTGTATTCAAGACTTTTTCTACGGTAAAATGGTGTAAAAAGAAGTTTTGAGTAATTTCACGTAGATCATCGATTAGAAGGAATAGAGTGGACGCATTCAAAGTCGTCTGGCGAAAACTTTTGTTTATTCCATATGGTTATGTCGTGATCACCGTGAAATCAATAAGGACTGCACCTATAATCCTACTTCATATATATATATGTGTTATCACTCCTGTTGTTGTTGTTGTCCTCTAGTTAGATTCGTTCGTTCTTGTTCTCATCTTTCTCTTGTTCATCTAGTCGAGATACTGTCTTTGTTTATTTTTACTCACGTGTAAAATAAACGCGATATACATCTCTCATCACTTCTTGTACTGAACGGCAATACGTGTAATATCTCATATTTTTTGTCGTAAAAAATAAACGTTTCATTGGTTAAAAGAAGTATTTGTTACAAAAAAAAAGTAGAAGATCTATTATCAAACAAATTCGATCGCAAAATCTAAACAGGAAGGGTGGTTATTCATCATCATCAGACATCAACGATGAATCAACAAATTCAGTACAAAATCAGTCCACATCAAGCATAGAAAATATTGAAGATAATATGAATTTTTATTTAATTATTCATCTAAATCCTTTAATCTCATCACTACAACAATTTTTATGTTCTGAATGCAACAATTTATGGGATGGATCTGTATCTGTTAAAGAACGAAATGGATTGTACATGCAACTTGAATTTAAATGTCATAGTTGTGGATTTCTCACTCGTTTATGTTCATCACCACAAATACCAAATAGTAGACGTCATGATATAAATGTTCGATTAGCGATTGGTGGTACTTTATGTGGTTTAGGTCGTAATGGATTAATGAAATTACTAGGTGCTTTAAATCTACCACCACCAGTGCAGGAACAAAAGTATCGTGAAGCACAAGAATTTATTTTAAATTATGTGGAAAAAGCTCAAGAACCATCAGTGATAGCTGCCGTTGAAGAAGCAGTCGTTGAAGCTGGTGGTGTACGAAATTTAACAATAAGTGGAGACGGTGCGTGGCTCACTCGAGGATTTTCCAGCGTTCATGGAATCTCAGCTTTGTGTTCAACAACAACACGTCCAAAAATTGTAGATACTGATTGGTGTTCTAAAAAGTGCTCTAAATGTCAAGGGGCAGAAAGTCTACGTCATGTCAGTTCTGATCTATTTCGTACTTTTCAGGAGAACCATGAATGTCAATTGAATTATACAGGTAAGTTGTTATGAATTGAATACTACTTTATCATAAAAGTCTTTCTAATTCAAGAACATCGGGCGAAATGGAAAAAGAGATGATCCATGAAATGTTTTGTCGGTCTTTATCAAAATATAAAATTAATTATGTTTCTTATATTGGAGATGGTGATGCGAAAGTACATAAATACTTAACTGATAATCCTCCATATTCTGGTATCACTATTAAAAAACTCGAAGATACAAATCATTTTGCAAAACGGATGTTGAGTCGCATTAAGAAGGTTAAGCAAGAGAATAAGAATCGGATCTTGTCTGATGGAAAAAAATTTAGTGGTAAAGGACGCATGACTGATGCTCAAGCAATCAAGTTTAAAATTTATTTCGCTAAAGCCATACGTGAATCTAAAACTGATTTAGATAAACTCTATCAAAAATCATGGGCAATTTTTAAACATCATTATTCTACAGACAAGCAGCCGGTGCATGATTCGTGTGATCCTAAATGGTGCAAATACCTTCATCAAATGGTCAACATTTAATCATAATTCAAAATCCAACATTCCACAAACATGCTTAGATCTAATCAAGCCAGTGTTTGAAGAGTTGTGTTCTCGCACTAGTTTAGCACGTGTGTTAGGTGGTGGCTCTCAAAATGCCAACGAGGCTTTCCACTCATTATTGTGGACCATGGTCTCTAAGCATCGTTACTGTTCGTCAACAATTCTCCGTATTGCATTGAGCCTATCGACAATCATTTACAACGATGGCTATGATTCTTTAGATAAATTATTTACAAGCATCTTCTCGTCTATGGGTTATTATTCTGCTCAATGTTTCAGTCGACTTGATGAAGTGAGGAAATCTTTTACTTCGAAAGTGGAAAAAAGACGTTTAAAACGAGCAAAAACAACAAGAACTGCTGCTACTAATATCTCTTCAAGCGAAAGTGATGATGAAATTCCATTTGTCCTAAATCTAAATGATGATAGTTTTGGTGATATTTCTAATAATTTAAACGCATTGAACCTGTCGGAAAATGACGCATGCAGTGATTATGAATCGGGAGGCGATGATTAGGTTTTCCTACCTCAACATCATTTATCCAAGGTTACTCATATGTAGTTTTTATGACATATTATTATGATATCATTTTCTAACTAGTTGTGATCTTCTTATTTTTTTCTTTACATAGTTTTGAGGTCACTAGTTAATAAACTTTTCGCAAACTTATTTGCGATCGTTATGGCTCCAAATCAATACGTGTGTAGAATTAACTCAGCAAATGCGAACCGAAGATGAAAAATTCAACGCTCTGCTCGGACGACTACGTCGAGGCGGATGCACAGATACAGATTATGAATTACTACAAACTCGTGTCGTTGGTGGCGGTGAAGTTGAATCATTAAACTTGATCGACTGGAAACAAGCACCAATGTTAGTTTTCCGCAACGAGTTACTAACGCTGCTAAATAACCTTGCTGTAGCTTCCCGATCATTAGAAACCAACGAAGCCGTAGTTATATGTCCTAGTGTTGATACAATTAAATCCAATTTAATCGACAATCGCACCTTGCACAAATTCGTATAAGTGTTGCCCGACAACAAAACCGATGGTCTTCCTGGTATTTTACCGTTAGTCAAAGGTACGAATTAAGAACCAACCTTTATTAAGAAGCAAAAAATAATACTTCGATTAGTTTCGTCTAGGAATGCCGGTGTTATTGACTGATAACATAGCAACAGAGCTCGGTTTATCAAATGGATCATCTGGAACATTTCACTCACTTGTTTATACAGAACCAACAGATGATGAAGACAAAACAATCAACGAAACGCAATCATCATCATCAGTAGACCCAGCACAACCGAAGCGATTTCCTCCAAATACCGTCACTCTGAAATATCCATCATATGCTCTGATTGAAATCCAAAAATCGAAAATAAAATCAGATCTTGAACGATTATCTGAGAAATTAGTTCCTATACCAACCATTAAAAAAACATTTGAAGTCGATGTGAAAGACTTATTATCACCTTCACAAGTAAAGAAGGCTGGCAATAAAACAAAAATTAAAGTAACTAGGCAACAGCTTCCATTCGTTCCTGCTTACTCTCTCACAACTCATAAAAGCCAGGGACAAACAATCCCAAAAATTGTGATTGATTTAGTACTGGCACCAGGAACGAG